CAGCTTTCCTGCTCCTATGATGCTGCTCGGCCTGCTGTGTTCATCCAGCTCTACACCTTGTTATCTCAGATTCTCCAGCATCTGCAGTTCCTACTATCTCAGAAGATAAAATGCTTTGCATTTCCATAGCCAAGAGGTCATGCAGTCGATAGCCTGAATGATGCGCACTTATCTTGAACAAGCATGATGAGAGTATACAAAAACCTCATCTACTCCACTTGGTACCAGGTGGGAAGAATGAGATTAAAAGTTTTGCAAAAGCAATAAAAAGATGTACATAGCTATAAATAACAGTCCACGTTGAAATTAAGGATTTCAAGATTGAAATATTCTTATTGCAGTCAATCTCCATCCTAACTTGAAGTGTTGTGCAGAAGAAAGCATTACTTGAACCAGTACAAGATCCAAAAAGACAAAATACACTAAAGTGGTTAAAAAAACCAGAAGCACTTGTACAAATATAAGGACTAACCTGTCACAGCAGGCTCTAAAAGCCGGGCCTTTTTTTTGGATTTCACTTCTTTCTGTTCTCCGTCATCATCCACTTCTTCAAATTTCCTTTTCTTTGAGACTGCAGGTAGAGTGGAGTCCCCAGATGGGTCATATGTTTTAACCTCACTGATCAGAAAAAATAAATTAGAACAGTACAGAACATGTCCATCCTTTCCATCCAACTGATTATTTCTGGGATACATGCTTAGTACTCTCAACCCTCTGCACCTTATAAAATGTCCTAAGCCATGCATGACCAAGACATGGCGGTGTTGACTCGAACAGAAATTGTTCCCATTCAGTACCAACACACATTTTAGAAGTGACTGACATATACCGAAGAGTCCCAAATCCAACAAGTTTTATCCTGACCATGATCAACTAACGAAGGAGGCGGGAGAATCTCGGAGACATATGAAATTCTAACAGGACTGGACAGAGTAGATGCAGGGCGAACGTTCCCAATAGTGAGTGTGCCCAGAACGTGTGCGCGTGCGTGTGGGCACTATATGAGGATTCAGGCTCGTCGATTCAGGACAGAGATGAGGAGACATTTCTTCACCCGAAGAGTGTTGAGCCTGTAGAATTCGTTACCATAGGAAGTAGTTGATGCCAAACATGGAATATATTCAAGAGACAATTACATATAGCACTTGGGGCAAATGGGATAAAACAAGATTAGGCTATTGAGTTGGATGATCAGTCTTGATAGTAAAGAATGGTGGAGCAATCTTGGAGGGCCGAACGGCCTCCTCATACTCCTATCTTCTATGTTTCGAATGGAGCAGAAATGGATGTTGCTTTGGGCCACCTGGCAGCTGGGTACCACAACAAAAAGGTGCATTTTACTATTATGGAAACTATCAAACACACTTCTCTTTCATACTAGCAACATTGTGAAAAAAAGTTAATCTCCAGAAATAAATCAAATTGCTTCCAGATCTTTTGTAAGTGAAACATAGAAGGAGAAATCCTTTGAGAAGATGACTAAGACACCAGATGAGGGCAGAGCAGCAGATGCTGCCTACAAGGACTTTAGCAAGGCCTAAGGTTCTGTATGGTAGACTGGTTAGTGAACTTAGATCACATGGGACCCTGGGAGAGGTAGCCACATGCATACAAAATTAGCCTGATGGTAGGAGACAGAGGGCAATAGTGGATGGTTGCTGTTTGGACAGAAAGCCTGTGACCAGAGTGCTCCACAGAGATTGGTGCTGGGTCCACGGTTGTTTGTCATGGATATAAGCGATTTGGATGAGAATTTAGGAGGCATGATTAGTGTTTGTGGATGACACCAAAATCGGTAGTTAATAGTGGACAGTGAAAGTTATCTAAGTTTTGATCAGCTAGGCCAATGGGCCAAGAAGTGGCAGATGCTATTTAATTTAGATAAAATTGTGCGGTGTTGCATTTTGTCTTGCACAGTTAATGATAGGGGCCTGGGGATTGTTGTCGAACAGAAACACCTGGGCATTCAGGTATACAGTTCCTCCAAAGTGGAGTCGTAGGTAAACAGGGTGGTGAAGGCAGCATTTGGCACGCTTATCTACATTGGTCAGTGCATTGAGTAAAGGAGTTAGGATGTCATGTTGTGGCTGTACAGGAGGTTGGTGAGGCCACTTTTAGAGTACTGTGTACAGTTCTGATTGCCCTGCTGTAGGCAGGATACTACTAAATTGGAAAGGGTGCAGAAAAGATTTACCAAGATGTTACCCAGACTGGAGGGTTTGCATTATAAGGAGGATGGATAAGCTGGGACATTTTTCCTGTGCGAATAGGAGGTTGAGCGGTGACCTTACAGAGGTGTATAAAACAGACGGTCTTTTCCCTAGGATACAAGTTCTAAATTAACCAGCATAATTTTAAGGCAAGAGGGGAAAGATTTAGAAGGGACCCGAAGGGCAACATTTTCCACATAGAGGGTAGTTTGTATATGGAATGGACTACCAAAGGAAGTGGTAGATGCAGGTACAGTTACAATTACAATATTTTAAAAGACACTTGGATAGATACAAGAGGTAAGGTTTAGAGGGCCAAACGCAGGCAAGTAGAACGAGTTCAGTTTAGAAAACCTGGTCAGCATGGAGGGCCTTTTCCATGCTGTGTAACGTTATGCTCTATACCAGGGCAACAGGGAATACAGACAAGATCGAGGAAGATGCCAATTTTTATTTTAATTTTGGCATTTCTCCAATTCCCAAAAAGTACCTTCAGAATAGGAATTCTACAAAATGTAATAAACATTTAAAAAACTGATTTAGGACACATACCTCTTGTGCTGGTATTTATCAGCTTGTGCACGAGCCTTTCCTGTACCACTGATCCTTCTCATCTACAAGTCAGAAGTCAAAGAAGCACTGAGGTACAAAAAAACACTTTAGGGAAGTACAGAAGACAAAGACCAATATTCCACAAGTTTAAAACAGCCCCTGGAATCTCAGACCACGTGTTCCTGAATAAATATATTATACAAAGGATCTTAATGACTTGGACATTCCAGCAGTTACTTACCCCTTTTTCTTCTAAGTGTCGTATGCGAATTTCCAGCTTGGCTCTATTTTCCACACCCATTTCTGCATTTGTATCCTCACCCAGAGCATCATATCGAATGGCTAAAGACGCCTTGGCTGCCAACATCCTGGAGATCTATTGGCAACAAATAGAGGCTCAGTATTTCATTAAATTTTTGTTCTGCAGCTGCTGGTTATCAGTGAAACATTTTCCTGACAGCCAACTGCAAACAAACTACTCTAGATGAAGGACAGCACAGGTCAAATTCAAATCGCTCTCTGTGGGAGAGAAAAGTCTTGGAAGTACAATCCCTCTCAACTAGCACACCTCTTTCTTGCCTTTGCCTTTCAATTCTTCACTTCCATCCACTCTTAAAAATTGTTGGCACTTATGGTTTATACCCCAGCTCCTTCTAATGGAAATACCTACTATTCACATCGGAACGAAATAAGTGTTTGCAGCTTCAGACATAGGACTGATCGCAGGAAACTACGGCTGATCCTCTCTGCTCTAACTCAGGGGCACTGAAGACAGTTGCTTCACAAAGGTGTTTCAACATTGAAGTTAACGTTTTCATTTTCAACATGACGGGTCTGTAGAATTATGAGTCACGTGCTGTGTTAATTCCAACCATAGTGCTTAAAACTCATTGTTTTAACAATTGTCAACTGGAAGTTTAACCCCAAACCAATCAACTCAACAACACTCATGAACAGGAAAGAATAGCTACACCGTCTCCAAAAATCCTCTTCATCTACAGCATGATGGAATACTTACCATTCACCTAGGTAAGGGCAAACACACCACACAAGCAGCTCAGAGAAAAGCAGTTTGCTTCACAAGCTGAATACCCAACCCCTCCAGCAACAGTACACAAGTTAGACTTGAATTACATATTGCATCCAAGAACTTTAGCACTAAGGAGAACAGCAGCAATAGCAACATTTATCTCCCATGTGTCATCCTGGCTCACAAAGTGACTATTGCTCCTTGTTAGTCAAAGAAATGGTAAAGTCATTATATGGTAAAGCCTGAACTCCACAAGATATACAGCGCTTACAAGTAAATAGCTGTCACATCTTCAAGGGACAGGTAATAAATGCTGGCTTTGTCAGTGTTACCCACAGCCTGATAACAGATTGGGATCGGTTCTGGGTGAGGCCGGACCAGTAGAAGCCAGACAGGTTTTACCTGGGGAGCACTGGAACAAATGTCTTCAAGGAGTATTTGCTATCAGGGAAGGGTGTGGAGGAATTAAACAAAAATGGCAGGGTGGGAACCAAAACATGGAGACAGAAGAGAAGGAAAGAGAAACCCAAAAGACAGAAGGGGAAATAGGAAAAGCAATAAGCAGGGAATTCAAGAGCAAGAATCAAACAGGGCAACAGTGCAAAATATTGCAAAAGTGACTAAGGATGTTAAAAAGACAAACCTTAAGGCCTTGTACCTTAATGTACCTTGATAGGGAGATGATTCAAGTATAGGAGTAGGGATGTCTTGCTGCAATGTACAAGGCCTTGATGGGATCACACATGGAGTGCTGTGAACAGTTTAGGACTCCTTATCCAAAGAAGGATGTTCTGGCTAAGGAGGGAGCACAATGAAAGTTTACCAGACTGAATCCTGGGATGACAGGGCTGACATGCGAGGAGACACTGAATCATTTAGGACTATATTCAGAGTTTAAGAGAACGAAGGCTATCTCAAACCTGTAGAATTGTAAACAGGACTAGACAGGGTAAATATAGGAAGGATGTCCCCAGTGACCAGGGAGTGCAGAATCAGAGGTCACTGTCTAACAATGTGTGGTCGTCCATTTACAACGGAGGGGTGAGGACAAACTTCTTCACCCAATGGGTTGAGAGCCCGTGGAATTCTCTACCACATGGAGCAACTGGGGCCAAACATTTGAATGTTTTCAAGAACGAGTTAGGTACAGTTCTTTGAGCTAAAGGCATCAAGAATATTGGGGTGGGGGGAGGGAGAGGGAGAGATAGGGAGAGAGAGGAAGAGGGTACTGAATTGGCCAATCAGACATGATTATATTGAGTTGAGATATTCCGAAGGGCCAAATGACCTACTCCTCCTAATTTTTATGATTCCAAAAGGTTCCGACCCAGTTAATTGGACTGTGTTCTGACTATATTCCATTGCACAGAACTATTAAAAAAACCTGTAAGCTCAAATAAGCTTTTGCATAGTTGTGGAGGAGAAGTGAAATCCATTTCACTAGAACAGGTTGGGAGTGCAGAGGAAGTTTACTTATATCTAGTTTCTTTTGTATCCAACCAGACAGTGGACCTGAAATAAGAAATGCTCTATTTTCCATCAACAAAACCTTTGCCTTGATGAACCTAAAATTCACAAAACAGTGTATTTACAGCATCTTACCTTGCCTTTGTTCTTTGGAGTGGTCTGTCCAACCAGTGATGCATGGTAAATTAAACCATATTTTGGAGTATCTCTTCTTGTTTTCAGTGCTCTAAATAGTGCCTTTTCTGCACCCAGAATCTGCACGGTGGATGCAGGATGCTTTGCCAGATTCAACAGAGAACCTTTAAGGAGGAAAATTAGACACAATGGCACAGAATAAGGCCATCTTATACATTGAATCCAAACTGGCTGTGAAGAGCAATCCCAACTGCTCCATTCCTTTATTCTGTTCCCAGAGTCCTGCAAGTTTAATTCCCTCAACAGCTCAATTTCCTTTTGAAATCACTGACAACACTCAATTCCATCACATGCATTCACAGTCAGCAAGTGCCGGGTCATTATTATTCACTGCATAATAAAATTGTTCCTCTTGTTCTCCTTGCATTTCCTGCCTAAAACCTTAAACCCATGAGCCTGAGCACTTAAACCACCAGTTAGTTAATGAGAACAGCTCATCTTTGTCTGCCTTGCCTAAACTTGTTATGATCGAGTACTTC